CCTTCGAAATGGAAAGTCGTGCTATAATATATCACTAAGGAATTCTTCAAAAAATCCAGTTTTTCCTCATATACTCCAGGGAATAGATGAATTGTTTAATAAACTTCACATTTTAATGCCTCTCAAAAAATTGCGAATGATGATCCAGAGGATTGGGGTTATGTGGTTTTGGAGCAACGTAGACCTGCAAAGGGGTACTCGAAGAATTCCTTACAAAATTCGTGTTGATTTACGGCAAATTTTGTAACTTAACCTCACCGCTTCGGTTTCACTCTTTGGCGATGCCCGTCACGGAGGTGGATAGACAAAAGTTTCGTATGGATGGATCGAACGGCGGTACGTTGAAATGTGCAGTTCTCCGCACAAATCAGCAATTACAACCACAAAGAAATGATACACTCTCGATATGCGATATCTTTTTAAAAAGAAATGAAAGATACAACAGCTCTAGGGACAACAGGACAATGTGTCCACCACTTGTCATAGTAATGATTTGTAATTCAGTGCAAATTAGGACGCTTTTTAATCCGGCGAAACGTCTGAGAATGTAGCAATTCGACGGTACAACGTTAGAGATTGTCATGAGGACGGCGACAAATGACGATGGTGCCTTTCGGCGAAGTTGTGAAAATGCGGTCGCACCAACTTTAACCCACGAGATGAATTTATTTTCTCTTTACGCTACCGCGAGGCCCGTCGTTTGAAGTCACCCTAAAAGGGGTTATTCTTCGCTATCGCCTACTTCGAGACACGGAGCCAAGCAAACAGGTTTTCCTGCTTTTTCCTTTCATAACTCTTTTACATGGAAATATAATGTTTGAACTTATGAGAGCGGGTTATACTGGCAGACGTTACATTACAGAGGTAAATTTCGGCCAGTTAAATTTGTCATTTTGCCCTTATTCATGTTGAACTTTTACATGGAGGAAGCCCTCGGAACCAGTATGCTTTACTGTCTTGCTCTGTTGCCCTGACGCTAGGCAGCTGAGTTTGATCAATGCCCGAGAAGAGAACTGGTCGATTTTGTTAATGAGCATCTGCCAGCCAAGACACCAACTCGAGCCATTCTTAATTCCATAGAATTCGTCATTCCATTAGTGGAAGGTGTCATCGG